AGACAGACAGACAGACAGACAGACAGACAGACAGACAGACAGACAGACAGACAGAAGACAGACAGACAGACAGACAGAGACAATCCATTTTAAAAACTTGTGGAATTTACAGAAAAAACGTTGATTAAAGGCACAAAAATGTAAATTTTTAATTTCCAAAGACTCTCAAGCTATTGAAGTCATGAAACTTTGGTGCAATTTTCTCACTAATTCTACCTCTGAAACCAACCAGGCAACTCAATCTCATTCAATCACAAATATTTCTACTTCTATTCAAGATGGATACCCTACCTTTTTAGCCAAAGGCAAGGCAAATAAACACACACACACACACACACACACACACACACACACACACACACACACACACACACACACACACACACACACACACACACACACACACACACACACACACGTGACAAAGGGTAAATTGTTGTAGATACGATCAGATAAGAATTTTTAACGAATTTCGAACGAAGCACTGATTTGCTTCGAAAGGATAGAGACACGTAATACTCGTATTTCGAATATATTTGACGTGCCATAAGATACAAGCCTGTGGTATTCATCGTAACTGTTTCATTGGGCCACTCCGCTATGCCTTGGCATTTTCTTTTAAATCCCAAAGTCATACCGCGAGATTGGCCTAATGGACAGGGCGAGAGCCCGCATGGCGTTTGTGATGTAATGATTCGGATAATTGTCTTTGAAAAAAAAAATCGGTGAGATTGTTATGCTGGGAAGAAACTTAATTCTTTCTAGTGTGATGTCGTATCCGCATATCGGAGGTTGGCTTTGGTTGACATATGCGAAGCAGTCCGCCTCCCAAAAATCTTAATTGGCCCGATCTGGAGTTATGTCTTATACCGGGTGCCCATTACGGGTGGGATCGGGTCGGGTCGGGTCGGGTCTGGTCGGGTCTGGTCGGGTCGGGTCTGGTCGGGTCGGGTAGATCACCCTGACTCGTCGCCTGAAAACAAACGCGTTTGTTTTTGAGGCGACGAGTAGGGCGATCTGTTTATGAAACGATAGCCGCTTTGCGCCCTCAATCTGGTTAGCAACCCGACCCGACTTGACCCGACCCGATCGTGCCGATGGCATCCCTTATTAAAAGACAGTCAGTCTTGGATGAAACTGAGCTACCGTTTCCACCCGATAGTTTAAAGTGAGTTGCACATCTATGCCTTATCGATATCTCAATAAAGACGGGAAATTGTTTTTTTTTAGGAAATTCAAAGCGACTGGCTGTTGAGAGGCACACATTGGGGGGGGGGGGGGGGGGTCTAACTCTCCTGAACTGAACATATTACGAAAATAGATGTCATTGTACTGTCTTTTAAGATATAACTCCAGTGATATGGTCGCAAAACCTTCAATATCAATCAGGCGAACGACCATTTCAAGCGACTTTTCCACTGATTCTGGGCCTTGTAACGTTTTCGACCTAGGAAAAAAATAGAAAATACCATTTAGAAATATGACTTTGTGGAAATACGATTAAGAAATATATAGGATACATTCTGAACACCCACGATATAATCCAAGACAAGCTACAATCAACTCAAATGGACCCAGTATAGCTTGTTTGCCTCTATTGAGCCCCCCACCCCCACTGTCTGTCTGTCTGTCTGTCTGTCTGTCTGTCTGTTTGTCTGTCTGTCTGTTACTCTCTCTCTCTCTCTCTCTCTCTCTCTCTCTCTCTCTCTCTGTCTGTCTGTCTCTCTCTCTCGGTCCGTCTCTCTCTCTCTAAAGAAGCTCTAATAAACACAATTCCGTCAATTCTGTGTAACGGCTAGAGCTGGATTAGTCAGCTGTTTCAGAATGAAGCTATTTCTGTTTGTTTGGCCACTGACGTGGCAGATTAAACCGCTTTGACCACCAATTCGTATCAATTATCTCTCACTCTCTCTCTCTCTCTCTCTCTCTCTCACACACACACACACACACACACACACACACACACACACACACACACGTCCACGCACATACACCTATACTAAGACATATAGCATAGAGAGAGAGAGAGAGAGAGAGAGAGAGA